ATTATTATTTTATTTTTTATTATCATCATCTGATGATTAACTTATATAATGTGTTACCTTGTGCATTTATTTTATACATTTCATCTTATAATAATTTATTTTTTAATTAAATTTGTACTCAACTTGAAGTCTTAATTTATTTTTGTCATTTTATTTTTGTTAATTGCTAGTTAAATTCAATATAATTTACCAATAAAATATAAAAAATAAGTATAATTTTATTGCAATATAAAAAATAATATAAATACACTTAAAAGGCTAATAGCCCACACATAATAATGGGTCAACATGATATGACTAGATCTATGTATCGTGTTATGCTAACTTATATATCATGTGATGGCACTAGTCTTAAATAGATTGTGTCATATCAATTCATAAGTCTAAAATCTTTTAATCTCATATGGTATATATACACACAAATACATACATACATATGTTATATTTGGTCTAACCTGATTATTTAATAGCGGCCCATGCCAAATACGATTCATGCCATTTTTTTTTTCTGGTTGGAACTTGATAGCTGGGAATGATTCTAGATCTTAATGTTATAATGTTTTATTGTTAAGGAGACAAGAAATCAATCATTGCCATTGGTCAAATGGTGAAGCAAAAGAATTTTTAAAAAATTTTGTTGGCTGTTTAATTACGAGACACATCAGTACTTCCTTATTTTATATACTTGCATGGAATTCCAAGACAGACACATGCGAAGGAAAATAATGTATAGAAATCAAGTGGTCAATTTGATTAATTATTTGAAACATGCAAATTAAATCAAAATAAACAATGCTTTTTCATTCACAGAATAAGCTTATCTTCTACATAATATATGTATATGTAGATATAATTGAAGCTGGAATTATATGTTAAACTATAACTGTCGCCAATAATTAATTAATTAGTTCCTTTTTATTTCTTTTTTCTTTCCACTGGGCTGCCGCCCTAATAATAATTTTCATGATACTAATAGGGTAATTAGACAATAGCAACATGATCTATAAGTAGGATATTGGAATTTTAATTTCACTAATCAAAATTCAAAATTTTTAATTAAATTACTTTTAAAATTGATATTTTTAGTTAATGAATTGATATTACAAAGGAAAATGTTAATCATACATGCTTTTTTTTTTCTTCGTAAGAAAGATCTGAAGATAAATAAGTTGTTTAATCTCTTAGATCATGACAAAATGTGTTATATCTGATAATTTAAAATAAGTAACTGTAAAATCGTACATTTAAAATAATTTCAACAGACAACCATCGACAGAATCAAACCTTAGACTTTTTAATCGAAAAAAATAAATTTTAATTAATTGAGCAAACTATTTATAGATAATCATATATGTTACTTAATATTAAAAAGAACTCCTTTATGATTTAATGTGAAAATATTTCTTTAAAAAAATTCCTCAAATGTTAGCAAAATAATTGAAAATTCATATTCATCAATTCATGAGATAAATTTTGGGAAAAAAAAAATTAGGAATAGCATTTGGGAGAATATTTTTTTTTTTTAAAAGTAAAATCAAATTAGTGGAATTTAATTTTGAAACGATCCAACAGAATTTTTGAATGGGGGTCAATTTTATGACTTCTAACTACGGCAACATTATAATAATATGTGTGGAAGCTCACTACCCAATTCCATCAATCAAGGTGCAAATTTTCATGCTGTGGGCTCATAATTTAATTCAAGTTTTCTTTGGGAATATGTAAACCGGGTTTGATGGGATTGGGCATGTGATTACACATGTGAATTTTTTTTTAAAGCAATAAATATATTTTTTTATTTTTAAAATATACAATAAAAAAATTATGTATCACTCTATTTATATCATTTGTGAAATTAAAAATTTTTATTGTTAGTGAATTTAATAATTTTTCAAAATTTACATATTTGTATATATTATTAGTAAGGATTTGATTATCAGAAATAATATTAATTTTGCCTAATAATTTTAGCAAAGCAAGTGCAACATAATTGTACGGATTTTTCACACCTGCTGGCAAAAAGCTACAAAATCATATAAGTACTGAAAAACAGATATGTTGCTTAAAATTGCATATGAAAGGCAAACATTCTTTTTGATCACTTACTTCATTTGCAATCAAAGGTTTCAATGTATAAATAGCATTTGCAATAAAAATAATTAAGTTGTCAATATAAAAATAAATAAATAATTAACTTGCCTTGTGATTAAAGGAACTTGGACATGATATTTTAAGGTTTAATTAAGTCTTTCAGTAATGGAAAAAAAAAGTGAGTTTGTTTTAGTATCAGATGCATAAATGTCTTATTAATTCTATGAAACTTGCTTGCTATTCTATATTAACCAAAGTAATCTTTAATGCACGTGAAAACCTTCAAATTTGACTTTTTTCTTACCCTTTAATTTGGATCCATTTACCTTTTCTTAGAGGTTAAAATATTAAATAAGCCTTTAATTAAAACTTTGAGATTTTAAGCTTAAGTCTCATTATGCATGAATTTGATTGTTTAATTATTTTTAATTTGTTTTAGTTTGTTGAATTTGATTATTGATATATTATATATGTATGTAATAATTTATTATGATTGTAAGTAATTTTATATTTGTAATTTTAAAAAATCTTTAAATAATTATTTTTATTGTATTCAAATAAATTTTATTTTATAAATTTTAACTAAATAAGCCTTTACAGGTTGACTAAAAATATCACATGGCACACATGAACTCAGCTGTCGTTACGGTCATGGCTAGATGGTATCTTTCGTGATAAATGATTGGGCCTTTTTGAGATATGGCAAAATTGATTGATTGAAATGTTAAAAATCATTTTTACTCAGCCGATTTTGCCACATTAGCATCAACAGAAAATTTTAGTAGATCGAAGACCGTTAAAGTCACAAAATACACATTTGATGTACATTTATTTGGATGTAATAACAAAATAAAAAAAATTCAAAGGCTGATAAGTTAATTAATATTTTAGCCTTATATTTATGAAGTCATATGGTTAGTTGAGGAATTGAATGATCAAATCCAATCTGTGTCTTCATTCATAAGATAATTCAAGTCCAAATTCCCACATCACACCTTATAGTATTACTAAACACTGAATAGTTCCCCATACTAGTCTGGTTTCAATGTTCCAAAGCTTGGCAAAACAAATAAAAAAAAAAGAAAACAGCTTTGATTTAATGTAAGCTTAATTTGTCTTCAAAGTTGTCAACATGCAATATCTCTAATTCCTCAATCTGCCTTCAAATTGGACAACTCAATTCCATTCTTTCCAACTTAGGTTGCAGAACATGTGTAGATTAATATTTGTGCTCCACTTTAAGTGGGATTAGCATGTGATTAGACCTTTTTGAGAATCACTTTGAGTCAGATGGTCACCTTGTTCGAGGAAACAATGAATGCATGTACATTGTTTTCCTTACAATTGAACAAGGTCATCAGAAGGATAGAGAGAAGGATTTGAACCCTAATCCTTAAGCCTAAGCCTTCGTTGAAGAATAACAACCAGAAGCTAATCTACATATTGAAGTAAGGTGTTTCTAAATATTAGAAAATAAAAAATTTTGATAAGAATTTTCTAAGACATTTCAAAAATTTTCTTTAGATACTTTTTTATTGACAAAATTAATAAATTGGTCGATAATTATATATATATATATATTATAAGTGAATACCCTCGAAAAAAAATCTTGAATCGTAAGCCAAGCTCAAATAAATATCTGTTTGATTTGCAAACAATTAATTTTATAGAACATTATGTAGATGTAGAACCACTTCCATGCATGGTCTAGAAAAATTCTTGAATAAATTGTATCATTAATCCTTAATCTTTTTGTAATGTTTCATTTTCATATGTATTTAAGTAACTCCGTTTTTTCATTCACAATCTTTTAAATTTGTTACAAATTCATTCATTCATCAATACACTGCTAGAATTTGAACGGAGTGTGGATGAAATTTGCCATGTGAAGTTTTGGCAGACTTACACCTGAAAATTTTCATTCAAAATTTAACGGTACTTTATGCTGATGGAGGGATGAAATTGGAAAAAATTAAAAAGTCGAAAGTGAAAAAATTGAATTTTGTTAAATCGCGAATGAAAACAAAAAGATCATGAACCCAAATTTACTACTCTTTGAAAGTCTAAAGATGAAAAGCATTGGGATCGGTAACAATGTACCAAGTCTACTTCTCATATGGGACATTTCTTAATTTTTCTATTCAGTCCAAAAACATTCATATCAGAATCAGAATGAGGCCAAAGGAAGTGCAAAAATTCCTCTAGTTAGGCACTATTTCACATCCAAAATTACTGTTATGCAATGCCATTAGTTATTGTAGAAAAATGGTTCAAAACCTTCCTGGAATTGAAAAAAAAAAAAAAAAAAACCAATCCTTTACATGGCCTCGAAAATGGAAAGTAACAAAGCAGAGAAAAATTGATGTCCTGCCCTGACAGGGACCATTGTACAGTATTCATTATTAAATATGACAAATTTATATATTTATATAAATTATATATTATAAATAAAATATAAAAATTATCGTATCATAATTTATATCTATACATTAAATATAAAATATATTTTTTAATTTTTATCAAATTTATCATTTTTGTATTATGCTATTTAAAATTGTTTATCCAACTTTTCTAACTTTGGTATTGACTTCGTTTTTATTTTTATTTTTTAATGCTTATTTGGCCTGGTATCTGCCACTAGCTCTGATACTTGGGTGCAGTTGGCTGATTAATCTCAAGTTTCTTTTTCTTTTTTTGTAAAAAAAAAAATCTGCGAAATGAAACTAAGATAAAGTTGAACATCTTAGTTCAAATTAGATAAAGAAATGAAAATTTCCATTACAAGATCTTCAAAAGAAAAGAAATACCAGATTCTCCATTTTTTGTTTTTGTTTTTTTTTTTCTCATTCAGCACCACTAACATCCAAAACAAAGCTTTTCTTTGCCTGGAAAGTTGTCCTTGAATTATATTACTTTGAGCTTGAATTCCTGTCTTTCTGAGATGAGAGTATAGCATCAATTGCTTCTCTTACTTGAGAAATATCAGGAGCTTTCCCACCTTGAACAGGCCAAAATTCATCTGTTGCCAATACCTGCATCATAAATCATAACACAATTTTAACTAAATTGCCACTTATCAACTCTAATATGATTAGTTTAGGCTGATTATTACTAAAACGTATAAATTAAGATCATTAAACCAATGATCAGAAGCTGATATCTCACCTTCACTTGCAGCTGAAGAAATTTGACATAGCTAATTGCTTTCTCTAGCATGGTAACCAGATCAACCTGTGCAGGAAAAATTAAGATGCAGATCATTTCCAGCTTTTTCTATAAATGCACTTGGAAATATCAGTAGTAACAGTGCCTTACCTTGGAACCATTGGGTACTAGTTCCTGTAGTATCTTCAACCGCTCACTAATCCTCTCGCGTCGATTCTGGATAGAAAACATTCTGTCAATGTTAATTTTCATACTTGATAATTGATAGTGCTTAGTTTGGAATCAAACTTTCTCAGCATAAAAAACAAGTTTACTTGAGATGCAAGTCAGCAAACCTTGGCTGCAATACTTTGGGGGTCCTTTGTTGGTCCTGATGACTTAGTTTTTGCCTTCTTAGCTTCATTAGTGCGTTGTTTCTTCAAAGCTTGGTTACTGTTTCCCTATACCATTTTTATCGGCAGTAAATTCAGTAGCTATCTTAAATGAACTGATTATTAATTAATTGGATTGATTGGAAAAGAAGAATAGTACCGTATGGGGACGCTTGAGGCCTGCTGCTTCTGGTGATACTGACTCCTGGATACTATCAGCAACTACATGGTTTTCTTTCGTAGCACTTGTCATGGAATTAAAATTGCTAGCAGTTTCAAAGCAGTTAAAATCTTCCAGCAGGTGAGGATCGGTACTTCTCTTTGTATTCGTCTGGTTCCACTGGTAATTCTGGTTCAAATTACCCACCCACATTGAGTTCAAGTAAGTATTTTGCAGAGCCCTCTCATTTTGCTCAAAGCTAAGCAGAGATCCATTAGTCCCATGAATGAAGTTATCATACCCTGAACTGAGGTTTATCGAAGAATAAGCTTCCTCAGGTTGATAGTTCACAAGCCGGAACGCGAAACCATCAGCATGCACGCTGCCTGGAGAAGAAAGTGAAGAACTAGTCATGGAAAAATTCTCGACAACACCAGGGTTTTCCAAGTCACCTCCTAATTCAAATTTGTAGGCCTTGGGGGAATTAGTGAAGGCAGAGGTTTGAAATGAGTAGATAGGGTCCTTAACAAGTGCCAATAGGAGAGTGAAATTTGGGCTAGTTTAAGCTGATAGCTAGGGACATGCAGAAAGACAACTTCTCCACAAGGCCTATTAATAATGATGGGTTTTATTGCATTTTTAAACTAAAATATAGATATGAAAATTCCAATGTTGATATTGTATAAAATATTGATAATTTGTGTATTTATATTTTATTTTACGTAAAAATTAAGTATTATAATTTATATTAACATAAAAAATAAAAAATATATAATTTTGTTTTTATTAAAATCATATATGATTTTTATTGCTTTTATATATTTTTCATATTATTTTCATATCGTATCATTTTATTGTTTTTAAATTATAAAATTTACTAAAATAAGGGATTGAAAATACGTTAAAAAAAGTCGTAAGTACCTATCGGAACAAGAAACCTGTATTGAGCATTGCTGCTATATATTGCATAGATGTAATGAACTAGCAATTATATATATATATATATATATATATATATAATATGATTGTATCGGCATTGTTAGCTGGCAGAGGTGAGTATAGTTTGGAAGCTGATAGAAGATTAAAGCAAAACAAAGAAAAAGAATGCCAAAGCAGCATAAGCCTCGGCGGATTTTTCTCCATCCCCACGTCCATCAGATTCCCATATTTGTTATAATTTTTTTTTTCTCACTTTCAAGAAAGTTTGGACTAGTTTTGAGGCAGCTTCCTACACTCCTTCGTCTTTGCTTGTGCATGTGGATTTTCTACTGTTCTTTTTACATTTTCAGGGTTCATGCCATTCGCCGATCCACCCTTTGTTGTAGGGGTGTTCATAAACACCCAAATATTGAAAAAGAATAAAATTTGACGAAAATTTTTTGTCTGGACATCTTCAAAAATTTTTTTGAACACTCTTAAGAAATTAAAAAATAAAAAAAATTTGAAGGAAAAATTTTACTTTAGGACCCTTTTATTGATAAATCTGTTCACATTTTTTTATATAAATATTATAAGTGGACATAAAAGAAATTTGGGATCCGTCACTAGAATCCATGTTGGCTTGTAAGCCGATCATGGAAGGAAACCATGCTCATCTCTTATCTAGCACTTGACATTTTGATTAGCACTGATCTGGTTCAAGTATCTGGCAAATTTAGATGGCCATATCTACAGCTAAAGATTTTGTTCTTGTACATATGGAGTTTTCGAATCTGAATAAGCTTGTATCTGGTTTACAAAGGACCGAGCAAGAATATTAGATTCTTAACACCATGAATTAAGGTTTCTCTTTATTATTCAACCTACAATATATAAATTACAAGGCTAATTCAACCAAATAATTGAAAAAGAATAAATTGATTATATCTATTTTTCTAGCATTTTACATCTGGAAAATAATAAATGGAAGTAGTTTATTTCTGTAGAGGGGAAACAATAAATACCATATCCTAAATTGTGATATCAAAATTTGGGTGTGACAAACCAATAATATCCTGTAAGGGGGAAAACAAATAAGATCAGAGATCAATGAGCAATGACTCCAACAATAAACCTTTTGTGACATATTAACCAAGAATTCATAAGATTACTTAACACTTAGATAAGAACAAAACTTAGATGATGTTTTTTAAGTGATTTTTTTTTTAAAAAAATTGATTTAATTAAAAATTTTAATAAAAAATTCAAACCAATAGTTTGAGAGAGTTAAATGTGAAAATTAATAATATGTAAAAAAATTATTAAAAATATCATTTATAATTCAAATTTGATTAATACTTATTTAATCATAAAATTTTTATCAATATTTTTATTAAAAATATTTATCTAAAAAATATATCAAAATTTATTAAATTTTTTTAAAAATTTAACACACTTAATCTATATAATAAAAATTTTCAATTTATCAATTTTAATTTTTTTTAATGATTTCTAAGAAAAAATTTCACAAATTTTATTTAAATAATTTCATCTAAATCTTTTTACTCAAGTATTTACTTCAACTGTGGGTTCATTTATAGCCAATTAAGTCATGAACAGATTAAATATTCTCTTGATGTTAATTATTTTTATGTAGAATAAATATACAGATTGCATAATTATTATCGCGCTTGTAATTTTTTTTATTCGTATTTAAAAATTTTGCAGCAATGATGAGTCTACAAGATAGAGGTAACTTTCTCGTTAAGAGTAAACTATTATAAATTTTGTGCGTTCAATTTTTCTTTACATTTATTTCATTATTGTTTTATAAAAAATAGTACTTTAATCTTAACAATTGATATCAAAATATCATGTTATGTTTGAAGGTGATAGCTAGTAAAGAAAGTTCATCACATGTTTCACCGAAAAAAAAAGGAGTTCATGTGAAATCGAAAGTTTGATGGTACAGATTTGGATTCATAGATGTAACATCCCAATCTTGTCTAGGATTTTAATTGTTTTCACTAATAAAAATAAAAAATAAAAAATCAAGTGATTAATTTGTGTGAAATCTGTTTGTTTGGATTGAAAAGTTTGAGTTAAACTAAAAAATTTGAATTAGACTTTAAATTTAGAGTTGAAATTTAAAGAAAATTAAAAGCTCTTTTTGGTTTAAGGTTTCCTATATTTAAATTTTATAAATACAAACTTACACTAGGCAACAAAACACAAATTATTGAGGCAAAAAAGCTACACAAAAATAGCCTGAGAGTATGAAAATTTTTTGAGAGATTTTTTGTTTAAAAAATATATATGTTTTAAAAATCTCAAATTTTTATGAAATTTCCCAACAACCTTTAAAGATTCCAACAATTTTTCGGCAACAATCTTAGTTTTTGATGAGATTCTCAATTTTCAATGTCAGTTTTTCAAAAATCAATTAACTTTCGATGACTCAATTTAGATTTCGATGTGAATTTTTAGAATTCGGTGAAGATTAAATCAGTGTTATTGGTTTAGAAAGAGAGGAAGAGAAAAAAAGAAGAGAAATCTGAAGGAAAAAGAAAAAAATTAGCTTTTTATATGCCTGGTCAAATGATGCCGTTTTGAAGGTTAAACAGGCTTCAGGATCCATGCATTTCTAGTGGGTGACCTAACCCAAGCGCTAACCACTTCTTTAACCCATGTTCTAGCTGTTGGGTTCAGTTGAGCCGAGCCTGAACCGTGCCTCTAGAGCCATTGTCTTTCCTTGCAGTCGAGCAATACCCTCGAAGCTGTCAAATCGAGCCGTTGTTATTTTTGTTGTTTTTAATTAATTTATTATTTAGCTATTTCATTTGTTTTAGGTATTTTTGCATGATTAAATTTAGAAAAAAATTACAAAAAAATAAAATGTTAATAAATTTTTTGAGAATAAATATTAATTATCAAATGATGAAATTTTTAGAAATTGAAAAAAGTTAATTTCTATAAAATTCGTAGGTGAGAAATTTTTCTAAATTTGTCCCAAATGGTGGAGTGATTTAGATAAAGTTTCAATAATAATAATTAATATTTATCTTTAATTTTTTAAAAATAAGAAAAAACACAAATTTAATAAAAATTTTTGAATTTAAATACTAATTATCCAATGATGAGATTCTTAGAAATTTCAAATGGTAAATTTTTTAAGAAATCTCTAAGTGAAAAATTTTTCTAAATTTGTCTCAAATTGTGGAATAATTTTAGATGAAATTTCAATAAAAGTAACTATATTTTTTTCAAATAAAAATATTAACAATGTAACTTAAAAATTTTGGTTGAAAATTTTTGACAATTATCTAAGGATAAGAATCTTAAAAATTTTAAATGATAAATTTCCTAAGAAATTTCTAGGAGAGAAAATTTCTTTAAATTTCTCCTAAATGATGAAAAATTTAAATGAATCTTCAAAAAAATAATTGTCTTATTATTTTCTTTTCAAATATTAAAAATTTTTTTAAGTAAGGCCCAAATAGTAAAAATTTTAGAAATAAAAAAAAAATAAAAATAAATTTCAATGATAAAATTCTTAGTAATCGCAAATGATTGATTATCTAAAAAATTTTTGGGCAAGAAGATATTTCTAATTTTGGCCTAAATGGTAGATGAATTAAATATATTTTTAATAAAAAAAAGCCAAAAAATGATTAAATATTTTTTCAACAACGAAACCTTTTTAAAAAAAAATAAATGAGATTTTTGAATACTCTTAAAGTGAGAAAATATTGTTAAACATTCTACTAGATTGATAGAGAAATCTTAAGGATTATTTTCAATATTCAATGTTAAAATTTAAAACCATTAGAATCAAGACCTTAGAATAATTTAAAATAAAATGGTACCTTCCTTTAGATAGGCATGTGGGGGTGCCATAACATTCCCCATATATAACCAAACTTTCGAACTCTATTCTGATTAGTAGACCGAAACTTATTCTTTTAGTGACCTTTAATCAAGCTTAAAAGCTCCTTAAAAAGATAGATTTATTAGGTGACCAATCACAGTTAGTTAAAAAATATTAGTAGCGATTCTTCTTATTAAGTCTAGCTATAGGTTTACAGATCTATATATTATGATAGTTTGACGACTCTACTGGAGATCCAATAGAGAGTCAAGCTATAAATTTCAAATTTATCCTATCATTTGGTCTAATGGTTAAAATGTAAAGATTTTGTTATTTGTTCACTAACATTTTTTTTTTTTGTCTTTTATTTAATTTATGGGGGTTGACAATTATATGTTCCTTCATACACATACTATCACATTATTTGCATTACATGAGCTCTATACTCGAGCTTCGTCCTTTTTAAGAGGGAGTAAAGTGTCTATGCTCTCATAAAATGATAATTTTCGTAATGGCTAGCGAAATTTTTATATTCAAATTGAATCTTTTCTGTTGGTAGCCTGTGATAGGTGAGGATTGTAATGCCTTACTAATCTGTGATGGATAATGATGTAAGGAACAATTTAGAAACTTTTAATGGTCAAAATCACTTAGCCCATCATATAATCCACATTTAAAAAGCCATCCTTAAGATAAAGCCCTTTCCACCTATTGATATATGTAACCTAAAGTTAGGCCACAATAGGAAACAATTTGTGTGAAATATTGATTATTTAACCATTTTTTTTGTTAACTTTGTGCATTTGCATCATTTCAATTAGTGCTTGTATTATCATTTAGTTCCATGCATCATTTTTATTGTCATGTTTAATATTGTGCATTTGCATTATTTTTATATAAGGAATATTTGCCACATATTAGTTATTGATAAATTAGATCTCATACCTATATCCGTGGAAATATACTAATATAAAGTGATAGTTATGTGGCACATATTATTAGTACATTACATTCATGCATTAAAATACCAAACGTAAAGCATAGCATTTCTAATAATAACACAATTGTGGTACTCAACTCACTAATACAATACAAGAGCTCGACTTAGATAGATGGAACAAGAAAATTCCAATCGTCTCAAGAATATAGAGAAAGCTCAAGTGAA